TTCACCTCGCAGCAGTAGAAAACATAATCTACCAGTCAGTAAAAACTGTATTACCAAAGAACAAAGTCAGTGGAAGTAAAAATAGACAAACAGGAAGACTAAATGTTTTTCCCTCTTCTTTGCTATCGATTGAGTCACTGCATCCAGATTTCAAATTAAATCTGTAGATTGCTGTTGACCTGTTGACTCAAAAGCTTCCACAATCAGATTACAGCAGATTATAAAAATTCGTCTGTGTCTGAGTTTCCAGAAATGTCCGGCGGTAACCAAAACTACTAAGCAAGACAGAAATATTAAGAGAAACTGCCTGGGCTTCAATTCCATCTGAGCTATAGCCCAGCTGCAGTGAAGCTCTCTGAAACCAAAAGCTTACAAAGGTTTGTTTTTTTATGGGCTTTATACTTTATGGATACTGTAAGTGAACTACTGCTATTGGAAGAAGACGAGAAGAGAAACAGAAACTGACAGGAAGTAGAGAAAAGTACCTAAGAGACTGAGACTTCGACGAGGAGGGGGTGGAGGTGTAGGTGGGTGTGGGTGTGGCGTATTCGCCCCTCGCTGTGAAATATCCACATCCACTAGAGAAACGGTCTCACCTGAACACAGGAGGAAGAAAAGATAAGAAGAAATTGAGAGAAAGAGGAAAGTGAGCAGACGGTAAGACAGTGAAAGGGGCTGTGCTTTGTGAACCTGTAACTGTGTGTTGTTTTGTCTGTGCTGCAGCACGCCATTAAAGCTGCACCAGGCAGGATGTTTATGGAAAATTACACCCAGCTAATCAGCCTAAATCACTACAATAAAGGAGAACATCCCATCTCAGCTAATTGAAATGCTGCACATTCAATGTTTACCGAAGTCAAACCCTGCAGTAGGGCATGGTTGCTGGCAGGGAAAGAAACAAAATCAAAGGGTTAAGAGCCAAACCCTCAAGAGCAGAAAAAGCTGGACTTGCCCACATCCAGTCTCAGCCACCAACATCACTTTAGCTCGCTTTTTGGTTGTGAAACATCACATACAGGCTGGCTGGTAAACATGAGCAAGCCATGGGCACGGCTTCAGGGTTTTGAAAGTCCCCAAGATTTCAAACGAATCATCCTCACAAACTCTGCAACATGAAGCAATGCTGGGTGCAGCTTTAATGTTTTGGTCTAATTGGAGGTTGTGCCGCTTGTGCTCACAAACTCCAAAAATTCTCAGTCTGTGAGTAATGTGGGAGACTGCATAGAGGGAACGTCAGAGGCCGCCATAGGTGCTGAATCAAGTTTTGCCTTATGAGCCACAAACCTTCTCTCCCTTTTTATCTTTGTGCTAAATCAGCTTTTATCTACTGCAACAGTCGCAGTTTTAGCATGTAGTGTTTTGGTCAATTGTGAGATGACCATGTTGGGGTCTCACTGACATCATAAAGCTGCAAAAGTAGAAAAAAAACTGAATGAAACTGAGCATTAGATCTTTTTGAAGACTGAGATTTGTAGCCACAGATATTACTTTTATATACAATTACATCATTATCTGAAGCATGGAAAAAAGAACATAACAGGTAACTTTAACAACATTTGGTCTCACTATACAATCCAGCGTTATAGGATCTACTTCATGATTTATAGTTGTAAACACTCGCCATATCTAATCTCAACACGTCACATAAAAACACTTTATATCAGGTTCATGTTGACTCAGTTTCACATTCTACTGCCCCAAATGCTTTCTACAGCACTCGCTTCTGTCAGTGTGCCCCAGGGCAGCTGTGGCTACAACTGTAGCCTCCACCAGTGTGTGAATGTGAGAGTGAATGAATAGTGGAATTGTAAAGCGCTTTGAGGGCCCTGAAAAGCGCTATATAAATGCAATCCATCATTATTATTATTATTATTATTATTATTATTATTATTATTATTATTATATGTGGCTTAATCTGCACTACTACAAGTGCACTACTTACTCCTGTCTAAATAACTTGTGCTTAAAAACGCAGGGCCAGCTGTTTTTTGGACTTATTTACAAGTTGATAAAATAAAACTACATTTGTGAACATTTTACATCTGCAGTGGGAATTAATGAGCTTGGATCAGTATTTCAAAGAAGTTTGTAATTTGGAGTGAAATGTGCTTACTTGTTTCTCTTATCTTGCAATGTTTGTCCAAAAAAAGTTAAAAGGGTGAAAGAAAGATATAAACGGTCTAATTTCATTCTTATGACTTGCTAACTGTGCATATAGGATGGAAATCATAGACTTTATAGGGCTTTTTGTGTTATACATTTTGTGCTAATCTTGGCTTCTTGCATCAGCTTCTTGGATAGAAATGAGACTGGAAGTGTCTTCCAGGACTGCCTGGCTTTGACATCAAGCAAACATTTTTACTAACATGTGGAAGTGTTCAACCATTGTAATATAAGATTGTTCTTCTTGTGTGTTTTGGGTGACAGACTGGATATGTTTGACAGGTATGTGTGATTTTATTAAGAAAAATATTCCCCGAAAAAGTTCTAAAACAAACTCCAGACTCAGCTTTAAATTAATCTTCAGACTGTCACATTACATCATTTTATCTTTCAGAAACAGGACCGTGTTTTGGAGGAGGAATATATTTTTGTGATGGGATTCAATGTGAAAATTTCAGATATGTACAGAGAGAGAGAAGGGGTTATGTGAATTAGTTACTACAAATTAAGGTCAGAGATAGTAAAAGCAGACATGAAGAATTTTTACAATTTTTAAAAATTGTAATTCTGTTATTTATGCTGAATTTTTTTTTAACTTCATCTTAATAGGTAAACTGTCCTTAGTCACTGAAAACAATATCGATCGTATTATACTGTCTTTTGTTTCCATTTAAATGATCAAAAGAGACCATTTTCACTCAACCCCCACCCACTTGCTAATTAAAACTCCTTTCTAATGAGCAGTAGCCAATCAGAAGAAAGGTGGCTTAAAACAAGATTGTTCTTAAAGGTGTAGGTGCTAAAACAGCTTGTCTTATGAGTTGCACCAACACTCAGTGCAAGATGAAAAAGGATTGTTTAGAACTCCGAATTATGTAAAACCTCCAAAGTAACATCCAAGAATAAAAATATAGCGCTGGAAATGAGCATAATATGTTCCCTTTAAACATCCATTGTTTAGTTTTATCAGCCCCAAAGCCTAAAGTAGATTTTAAGGTTAATTAGCAGCTTAAACAACATGTGCTTCAATTCAAAGTATGAATGTTTTGCCAAATGGAGCTGAAGCTGTGATAATTATTGCAGCAAAGAGTATATCTGCTCGTCTTTTCTGCTGCGACTTAACTGATGAAAAAAAATAAACTTAATATCTTAAAGGCTCCTCGTGTGTACAGTCACTGACTCTGGTAAATCACACCTCTGCTCAGGTTATTGTTGGATGTGCCAGGAGCTTGACACAACATTCCTCCGTTTGTCGCTTTTATGTGACAATAAACTGAATATTTTGATGTGGTTGTGGCTTCTTTTTTCTCTTTTTTTCTTTTTTTTGGAAAAAGGAGTGCATTCAGAATTCATACATTTCTTTCTCAAATTAACAGTTATACTATTATGTTGATTATTTACAAGTTTATCGGAAGGTTTGGGTGATGGATATCAGAGGGGTTTTCCTCTTTGAGCACAAAGCTATGAGAGAAACAAAACCAAAGCCAAAGCAACCCTTACCAGTGAAAGTTGAGAGAGAGGCAGAGAGGGAGGCTGGGGAAAAGGCACTGTGGGCCCTGGTCAGTCTGGGCTGGCTGTGGCTGAAGAAGGAGGAGGAGGAGAAGAAGAAGAAGAAGAAGAAGAAGAAGAAGAAGAAGAAGAAGAAGAAGAATTATGAGAAGAGAATTAGATTGCAGAAGAAGTATTAGTGCAGTCTCTGCTTAGCTTTAATAGTGTGTGGGTCCTGCAGCTCTATCTCTCTTTCTTTTTTTTGTGCATTTTCTGTTTGATGCTCTTAGCTCCAGCACTAAAGACTTCTGAAGCTATGTTTTTTAATCATAGCCTGCCTTCAGTGTGCTGCTGTGAATAATGACTTAGCTGTGAAGACAATAGAGGGTGACAAGCCAGAAAGGTTAGAACAAAATCTCAGCATCTAATAACATGTAGCACCAAAAAGTTCTAAAAGAAAGATCTGGCGCATGAGAGAGTTCAAGCCTCTGGAAATCAATGTTCAGCTTACAGAAAAGGTTAGGATGTTTCACTGGCCGAAATCTAATAATGGACTTCCTATTTCTTATGTTAGGTTAGACTTTTTAAAAAGTCTCTGACCTACATGTATTAAGACAGCTTTTATGTTTTTAACTTGCTATGTTTATTTGTTCTGACCCTGACAGAAGATCTGTTTAGGATTTCTTACCTGTCTGCATCCTGCTCAGCACCCGCTGCACACGCCATGTCCACCAGACTTCCGGCAGAAGATACTGAATAAGTCACTGAGGGCCTTTTGTCCAAAAGGTGACTGGAGCCGCTGCAGCTTTTAGTCCGGAACAATTTGCTCAGTCTGATCTTTAACGAGCCCTTTTTTGACTTCCCTGGAACTTTGAGCATCTTTTCCCCGCCCGTGGCCCTGCCCGTGGGAGTCCGGGGCGCACTGGCGCACCGCTCCGGCCGCCTTCTGGGTGTCGATGCCTGGCTCAGGTTCGGGCTTGTGGCCCAGGGCGAGCTCTGGGCCGGGGTAGTCGACGATGACTTGGCTGAAGCATGCGTGACAACCTCTGTATTCCCACAGCTTACCTGCGAGAGGCGGCCGGATAAGTTCCCGTGGAGGCTGCACACCTGCGTGGCAATGTGCGCCGCAGGCGCTGCTTCTGTCGCCGTCTCCTCCACCTGCCTCCTCAGTTCCACTTGAAAACTGCTGATGGAGAAAGCCCCGGACATTTTCTGAACTATTTCCCTTTTCCTGTTGAGTAAAAACTCCCGGCGTCCGTTTTCATCATCTGTCTCATCCTCCGGACACTCGTCCATGTCCAAACCGTCAACGTCCCCGTTCCCCAGCCCTTCCAGCACCAACAATGCGTCGCTAGTCTCTGTTGGGTCATCGCCGGGCTCTACTTCCCCTCCTGCCGGCCTATGTGCACTTTGACACGAACAGTGTGGGAGCTCGCCTGCTTTGAACAGCATTTTGGGTACCGCGCCAACCCCAAGCTCCCCGAACCGCCGGGCCAGCTCAAACACGGCTCCTTCCCTGTCCCTGGTGGCGCATCCCCATTTAGAGTCAATCACGGTGAGAGGGTTAGATCTCTCCGTCAGCACGGGCCACTCTGGCGTAGTGGCGATGAGTCGATGCCGGTGGCATAGCTCAGCCGCTCCCTGCATCTCCACAGAGGCTGGCGAATGCGCTCCCCATGTCCGGTCTAGCAGGTTCTGCTGCTGCTGCTGAACCTCTCTGACACTCAGAGTGTTGTTATTGACCGCTGGGCTGGAGCAGCCAGATCCCGGGCTCTGATCCAGAGCATCCCTCGGCTGATTCCGACGGTCTAATTCCAAAATCCCCTCTCCGTTCCGCATTATATTGGAGAAGACTAGCAACTGAGGCCGTAGGCCGGGGCTGGGAGCGAAGTCAAACGCCTGGGCCTCCATGGAGCTCTGCGGCGGCGGAGGCGCGGACAGTGTGGCTCGGCTCTCCGTTACCCCAGAGTCAGGTGCAGCCGTGCCCTCGGTGCTCGGCTGTGCTTTGTTCAGGTGGCTGCTGGGATGCTGGAGGCCCTCCGTTGGATCTCGGCTTATATCCAAACCCGCTTTGACGCCGCTGTGAGCCAGGACCTCCTTCCCCAGCCCTGCCACCACTCCTCCCGGCGGCAGATTCCCGTTTTCTGCGTCCAAGCGGTCATCCTCGGCCACGGAAACCAGGCGCATCAACACAAAATCGGGCGACATATCTTGAGCGTTGTTCATAATTGTTCGTCAGGATCACGAAACGAGAATTGCTAGGCGATCTGCTCTTCACATAGCTAACCGCATAGATCTCGTTCCTATAATAAAGAAAGGACCAAGCCGCTGCTGCCTCCCATAAATAGGCTATGAGCGAAAACGTTAAAAAAATATATCAGGCGATGTTTTCATCCTCCTCCTCCCCTTCGCCAACGCAGCGTCCGTTAAATATGTTGAAGAAATGCGTGCAGTTTGCTCCGGGCAGCAGGCGGACCCCTGGGTCAGACATGCGGTCTGATTTCAGTAGAATAAAAGCCAGCAGAGTCTCCGGTCAGTGACCACAGTCTGCCTCTCTGTTCCGAGCCAGGCCCCACCCGCTCCTCCTCCGCTCAGCCCATAATATCACTTTATGATGAGAACCATAAATTCGACGACAGCATCTTAATATCACAGGGTTGGCCTATCCAGCCTCACATCTGAACAACTGATTTTTGGTTTTCCGTCTTCATAAGGGGACGAGGGAAATATACAAATAGCCTACAGGCTACACATGTTTTTTCCCCTTCCCCCCCGTAGACATTAGTACAGCTCTTAAATGGAATTCAAAGACAAATAGAAACGCCCTCAATATTTTCACAAAGAGGTTGTTGTAAGCCCGAATCTATTAAAGTTGTTTTAGTAGTTTTACAGGTTATCAGAATATTTAATAAAAAAACATGTATGCAGAAACACTAGGAAACAATTTCACGCTCCTTATGCTCTCATGAAGATGGATTACCCTTTTATTTATGAAGTAGCAAACTGTGCAAAAGTTTTTGCGCCAAAATAGACTTGAAGTACCAAAATTAAAAGTAGTCATTATGCAAAATATCCCTTATCAGAATCATATTACTGGATCATAATTATTGACTCATTAATGCATATATGATTTTAATGTTGCACCTGCAGATGATTTCAATCATTAATGCTAGTTTTATATGTAATAATACAGCATCATATGATTTATATCTTGAAATCTGCAAATTAATAACTAACATCAATAATATACTGAAAATAAACAGTATGAATGAAAATAGCAAAAGTTATACCTTTATACAAATCTGGAAACAAACACCATTTCACAAACTACAGGCCTGTCTCTTTACTACCTCAATTCTCAAAAGTTATTGAAAAACTGTTTAAAAACGACTGGAAAAATTTACAGATAAACATGAACTACTCACTGAGAGTCAGTACGGATTCAGATCAAGCAGATCAACATCATTGGCACTATTAGATTCAATAGAATGCATCACAAATTCCATAGACAAAAAGCAATATGTGGCTGGGTTATTCATAGACTTGACAAAGGCATTTGACACTATAGATCATGATATATTAATAAGAAAACTGGAACGTTATGGTGTCAGAGGGGTAGTTTTAGATTGGTTATTTAAGTGACAGAAAGTAGTTTGTGAAAATAAATGGGGGTTGTTCCAGGGGCCCTGATTTGATCAATCAATCATATGTACAAAGAACAATATTTGCTGAGATGAACAGTACACCAGGTGGGTGACATTAGGGGACCAGTGCCACCCCATGGCACTCCTTCTGGAAGAACCCCTGACAGATATGTGCCAATCATGGACAACATGCTCCGAAACAAAGAACAATGATTCCCTATATTTATCTCAGCAGTTGGTTCAGACCAAAATAGAGGTAAAACTAAGCATGTGTTGGACCTATGCTGGAACACAAAGTAGTCTTTCATGTCAAACTTGGTCAAAGCGTCGTACCGCGTTTGTCTTCGCTCCTGGGGTCTCTAAAATCAAATTCAAATTCAAATTTTATTTGTCACACACACACAACCATACACAGTATGACATGGGGGTGAAATGCTTGTAGCTGTACAATGCCCGACCATTAAATAACAGAAAAAAAAGTTTTTCAGTATTTACAATTTACAGGTTACTACAAAATTTACAAATTAACTTAGAAATTTACAGTAAGAAATGTGCAAATAGCAGAAAGAGATTATAAAGATTATAAATTATAGGAATTATAGGATTATAGGAAATGTGTGGTGGTGCGTGTGGTGATGTGATGTGTGTGGGAGAGTCCAGTCCTACACCTGGTTCAGGGCCCGAATAGCCTGGGGGAAGAAGCTCCTCCTCATTCTCTCTGTTTTGGCCTTAAGGGAGCGGAAGCGCTTCCCAGACCTCAACAGTGAGAAGAGTCCATTGTTGGGATGGGAGAGGTCCATCATAATCTTCCTAGCTTTGGACTTGCACCGCTTGGTGTAGATGGACAGCAGGTCAGGGAGCTCTAAATGAGAGATGTAACTCCTAAACTACTTATTAAAGCACACAGTCTACACTTTAGAGTTACAAACACAGTGTAATTATCCAGATACTGGGACTTCACAGTATCTGCTTCGAGGAAGGGTTTGTAAGCCTCACTCACATATAGCTGACAAAATACAAAAGAAGATTTCAAATTACTGTCGGCAAACTAGGAGAGTTTAAAAAGAGCATTCATTAAACAGAAACAATAAAATAAGAACTGGGTTCATATTCTTACTGGAGTCTTGTCCCCAGTACCCCAGTTATAGCTCTTATCTAATGAGATGCTGGAAAGAGAACGAGTTCCATGTGGCACAGTCCCAGATATCTGATGATGAAGACCCACTTAAGAGCAAGTTTATTCAATCTTCTGACTGAGTGCCACTTTTTACATAAGGTTGTGTGTCTTATTGTTGGCTTCATCCCAAAGATTCAGACAGTGTGGTCACCCTATTACATTTGATTAGCAAGTGAAATAGGGTGACTGTAAGCAGCTGTAGCACATGGCAGCTCCTCAGCTGACTGATAATGGCAGGTCTAACAGCCAGCAGTATGTACATGGAGACTATCCAAATATACCCTAGTGCTAATTTGGCTTAGTGAAGTTTAAGTGGGAATTACAGAGAGAACAGCAATGGATGATGTCCGAGGGGGAAAAAGAGAAAACTACAAGAAAAGAGCTAAAAATAAAAGTTAAATACAAATAATAAAATGGAAAAAGAAGAAAACAACGACAGATGATAATAACTGCCTTTTTAAGTGAACAGTAAACAACATCCCAACACAACCTGTGAAACAGGGCTTTGCCTTTCCTGCATGTGCCACTGATACGATATGTGAGGCAATAGAAAATTAGCGAGTAATAAAACACAGGAATTCAACCAGAACAGAAACACCTGCCCAGTGTAAAGCAGCTGTGAAAATACATAAAGAACAGACACACATGCAGAGATTTCTAAATTTATTAGAGACATATGTCCTCTTCAAATTAAGCTGCCATCCACAAGCAGTAGAATAGCAAACAGGCCAAACCCACACACCTTTCTTTCTAAGCTGAGTGTCCCATTCCAGCTCCAACCAACACTGTTAAAGTACCAAGGGCATGTTATTTAAGGAGGCAGTTAGATAACAGAACAAAAAGCCATAAGTCCATAACAGGTTAAAGGACAACTGATATTATAATTGATACGCATCTTAAAAAGGAGGGGACATAATTATCGATGTTTACAGCATTACCTTCATGGTTGCTTTACCTTTTACGTGGAAATATCTCAGTCCGGTTTGTTACAGAAACAGTTTTGGCTTCTGACACTCGTTTAAACAAAACCATGAACCTTCCCTAACCTTAACCGGTGTGATTCTGGTGTCTGTACTGCCACTGACAGAGGTCTGGATGTGAGCCTTGGTCGTAGTTGTGTATTTTGTATATCTGCCATCAAACCCAAGTTACACAGCCAGTGATTATGCTACTGCTGAAGCATTTCCATGGAAACAATAATGATATTGTAAATAATACATAAATATAATTTCTAGAAGACAGGTTTGCAAAGGGTTTAATCTAATATTAAAACACTGCACTATGGTTCATAATACTCACAAAAACAATCCAATAATTCAGAATAGTTATAATAATGATGAACAGCAGAACAGTTACAGATACAGTTACAGATACAGTTACAGATACAGTTACAGTTACAGTTACAGATACAGTTTCCTTCAAGGGAACAAATAGACCCAAATCAAAATGCCCAAACACAGCATGACAGAGCCGCTGGATCCACTCACTAATCCGGGGGTCAGTCTTCCTTTTTCATTTAAAAAACTGAGCTATGCTGTTGTTCTGTTAACTTTCAGTATGTGAAAACTTTGCAGTAAATGCTGAAGACTGCAGTCATTTTATCATTTTTGATTTGAATACTTACAAGCTAACCTTCTCACAAAGGCCGCGCTAACATGCTGATATAAGGGCTCAGACTTTGGACCACAGACTGTATATCAAAGATGGCTATAGCCACAGTTTCCACTTCTGATGCCAATGTGGAAGTGACTTAAACCTGAATCTCACTAATGGGGAGCAGGGTGCAGTCGGAATAAGAACTGAATGGAATATAGATCCATGTAAACACAATCTTTTGGCTCCGTTGCTCTATGATCTCAGTAAACAAGTTCCTGTTGGGTTTATAGTTTCAAGTCTTGATGATGATGTTTATTTTATACAGTCTGGTCATATGTAGGATAAATCATTTAGAACGGCAACTTTCTCATCCAATCTGGTTATAAAATACTGAGATCCCTGAAGTACTCAGACTGAGGATTTGCAACATGATTTCACTAACCAAAAGCATGATGTCATGGTGTTAGTGGCCATCTTTTATTTACGCTCTATGAGAGATCACCATTATTGTGACTATAAGCACAATATTTAGGGTTTTTTTTACTCAGGTATGAATCATCTGCAGGATACCACAAAAGTTTGTACAAAATGTCCCTATTTTAGTTATTCTGTTCTCTTCTGCAGGGGGTTGGGGCCTATTCCAGCTAGCAAAAAACAAGAGACAGGGGTACACCCTAAACAGGTCCCTAACACAGAGAGACAAAGAGACGAATAACATGTATGGACTGTGGTAAGAAGCCATAGTACTGGGAGAGAGCCCACACTGACACAAACTGACGTTTTAAGAAAGGCTAGCCAACAAACCAAACTAACATGCCGTTGTGTCTCCACCTCAACTGTTACCTGACCCTAGAATTAAAGTTAGAGCCTGCACACACAACAACAAACACACTTGATGCAGTAACAGAAACACAAGTACAAACATGGAACTGATGATTATGTCAGTAACGACAGACATTTGATTGGCTTAATTTAAAATGTTTGGTGTGGAAATGTTCATTTTGTGAGTGCCCTAATAACCATCCTAGTAACTGGTACCAGCCCATATCTGTGTGTTATGAGCTGTCAATGAGCTATGCCAGTGACATTTTCCAGTTCTAAATGTCATACACGATAAGATGCGGATTGTATTGAGAAGTGGTGCAACAAAAGTAAATATGTAGAAATATATATATTGGTTGAAATGAAGTGTATATGAACACAGCAGTAGCTTAGCTTTAAAACACTGAACAAAGCGCTCCAAAGACGCAAACCTCCACACTGACTAGCAGTGTTGTATTAACGCTGTGAGACAGGCAGATGGCGCTGCAGGTCATTCTGTAGTGATAGATGACGCTGCTGCTGAGTGCAGATAATGCTAGGAGAGTGGATGAAGGCCCATTAATCCTTACAGTGTGTGTGTGTGTGTGTGTGTGTGTGTGTGTGTGTGTGTGTGTGTGTGTGTACATGTAAGCCACAGAGATGAAGGCAGTGTTTGCTCATATTTGATGTTTATGTGGAGTAATCAAACTAACAACCTGCCCTGCAGAGCTGAATATTGATGTGATGAAGTCCGGGGGTCATTATACATCGTTTTTCTTATACATCCTTTCATCTTATGTTTACTCTCGTTCAGTACAGTCTTCTATATCATTATTTATGGTCTGCTTTGCATTGCGTACCTTCTAGATGTTCTGGCTCTTTTAGTTCTTTTATTTGCTTTTAATAAACAAGCCTCTAAAATAATATTTACATGAAACTGTCTTTACTTATTTACTTAGTTATCTTAGTTATTATATTACCCACTCAACCCTTGAATACCCCAAACTCCTATCTGCAGCACCTCAGCTGCCAGATCAGTCAGCACTGATGTTTGTTTATATGGGATCAAACTGGAACAACTTGAAGACCTCAGGAGTGAACAGTTGCCATCGCTGTGGGACCAAGATTTCCACAAACTGTCACTTTATTTTGTGTGCAATATTAGAGCACCCTCATATATGAAGAGGGGGGTGGATAGACTTAAAAGCAAGTTCTAGGCTAAGTCACAGCAAAAAGTTTTGACTGCATAATTTGATAGCTGAACGCAAATATTGTGTAGGCTGAATCTGGCATAAATTTGCATGAATTCCAGAGTGGATCTGTACCGTTATGTTATTGTAGGAGTGTGTTCATATATCAGTTATAATCACGCAATGTTCAGCCGAGAAGAAAAACAATCTGAGCTGGTAAGACTGAGTTCACCTCAGTGTTTTATCAATTTCTTCTTCAAAAAACTTGCGAAATCAAAATATGCAGTGCATGTGTGTCCCATCATCAACAGGGATTCTCTTGTTACTCTTCACAGTGCATTGTTTTAAATTGTCTTTAATGGCTTTCAGACAGATTACATTTGTTGGGCTGCAGAAAAAGTTCAGATGTGACAACTTCTAGTGCCTTATTAGCTGCGCACTTGAACGTGCATGAAATGATTAATAACATTACCGAGTAGATAAGCTAGAAGAAAAACGGTCGGTATGAATGTGACTCGTGGTGTGTTAAAGCTTCATTTCATCACTGCACTTGTCGTTTGCGTGTTTTTCTATATAGATGCGCGAGAACAGTCTGACTTATTGTGTTCCTCGAGCTCGACTGCACCACCTTCGCTGTTCTGCAGTGAAGTCCCAAGGAGGGTGTGTGTGTGTGTGTGTGTGTGTGTGTGTGTGTGTGTGTGGCTCACAGTTGAGGAGGGGGCTGGGGCGGGAGATTCTCAGAAACTGGTTGCCATAGTCACCAAAACTAGTCTTCTTGCCCGCATTACTCCTCCCATCGTACATCTGTGTCGCCTTTTCTTTCATCACGCTTCTCATACATCTTTCACTCAGCAGTGTGCACGCACACACACGATTGTTACACCAGTGTTGTGGTATTTGTGAGCTCCCCCACCACACACAAAAACTAACAAATGAACTAAACATGCGCCTGAACAGAGAATAAACTCCCTCATGATACAAAAACTTAGAAACAAAAAGCTGAAGTATAAGTGTGGAGGTTGTTAACACTTTACATCCTGTGGCCTCCACTGTGTGTGTGAGAGAGAAAGAATGCTCGTCTTTCTCTCGTTTACGAGGGGTTAATCCATCCGACCATCCAGCCAGCAGAGATATTTTTGATGGATGTCCAAATGCAGCAGAGCTTAACCCTCATCTCTGACTGAATGCATCATCCTCTGCTTTGTGAACACGCACGCACGCACACACAACAGATGTACCACTCTCATCACCTTTAAGCACTGGTGAGGGTTTGTCAAAACGGAGGGGGGAGTTCGGGGCTGAATGAAAGGAAGGGGAGGACGGAAGGCGGGAGGCAAGGAGAGAGGGAACGACGGTAGAGAGGGGTGGGACGAGCATCATGAGCTTCCACCCGACGGGCTGGAAGCTCTGTGGAGCAACAGATAGCAGAGCGGGAGGCAAAAGAAGAAGGGAGAAGTCTGCTCTCTCTCTTAACCCCTCCATCTCTACAACATCTCTCCTTCTCTCCTCCTCCTCCCATCTGACGCAGGGAGCCCCAAGTTTCAGGTTTTTCCTCTCTCCTCCTTCTTGCTGCGCACACTGCGTTTTCTTTGCACTGGTGATTGTAAAGCACGAGAAACGAAGACTGAGCGCGACGGCACGCTAGAGACACCTTACGGGAAACAGAAATGCGGGGATTGCTCCCCTCGTCAGTTTTATCCTTGCACCACCACCGAGGACTCGCAGGTTCAACTACATCTTCGTGTTGACACGAGCTCAGGCGTGCATGGTTCCGTGCGGCGCACAGATGGAGCTGTGCGCTCCGAGTGTGAGTGAGAGCTCAGCTGAGCGTGTGGCAGCGTTGTTACCGGATACCTGCTGCTGCAGTGCCTCCCAAATGTGAAGATGAAAAGTTCAAAACAACATGTGACGGGTTATCACTTCAAAGGAAATCCAAAAGAGGCAAAGCGTGGTGTTACTTCCCCGCCTTCTTTTCTTCATCAGCGTGCGTCCAGGATGGATCCCGTCTGGCTTCTCCTCCTGCTGCCATCCGTCCTCAGAGCGCAGATGGCTTCAGATTTCCCATCAGGCGTCACAGTGGAGACGAGCAACAGCACTGACTCATTGACAAACAATACAAGAACTTCAGAAAACTCCACCAGCCCCTCCACTTCCTCCACTGCTGCAGAGCCTTCGGGGTTTTCCACTTCAGAAGCTCCCACAGAAATAGAGGATGACTGGTCACCGGCAGAGACATTTCTGTACACCGGAGACCCCTCGACTCTGGTAGCGGGCCGTTGTTCACGGGCGTATAGCACCCGTGGGCAGATGGGACCCCTGCCCCTCAGCTTCACCGCCCCCCTCAGGCCAGCTATGGATGCACTAGCCAACACTGCCAACTTTCTTAACATGATCTTCCAAGCTAGTGACCTGCATGAGAGCACGGTGCAAGAGGATATGGAGTGGTACCATGCCCTGGTCCGTGCCCTTCTAGAAGCTGATGTGCTCATCCGGCGGGCCCTGTTTACGTTTGATGCCGACCCAACTGCCCAGGTGCCGCAGCTAGTGCTCCATGCAACTCGCAGCCCAATGGCTAAGGTGCAGACAATCATCCTCCAGGACTTATCCAAGGCATGGGAGAGCCTGCACCCACCTGCCCCTGCCCCTGATGACAGCTGGTTCAGAAAGCTGAAATTCCCAGAGTCCAGCCAGCCAATTACAGCCCTGTCCAAACGAGTGCTCCTCAATGACCTCAACACCTTGGACACACCTAAGTGGGGGCAGGGTGACAGCTATGTGACCAATCGCAGTGGGGTACGCTGGGATAGTGCTCCTTTTCTGGACTGTATGGATGAACGCTTTGTGCCTGGCTGGATGCTCACACTCTCCACCTCCTTCTTTGGTCTCAAGCCTGACCTGACACCAGAATTCAGGTTAGGGCCTGCACACATACAAACAGCAAGCAATAACAGTCACATAAATACAGGCACACACATAGAAGTGACACCTCTGATGATGTCAGTAATTATAGAAATTTGGTTGGTTCACTTTAAAATGTTTGGTTTGGGAATGATCATTCAGTTTCCTAGTAACCGTCTTAGTAATGATGTGAATCCACTGATCTGTGTGATGAGCTGTCAATCAGTGGTGCCAATGACATCTTTCAGTCATAAAATGCTATTATACGTTTTGTATTATGAACAGAGAGATTTGCATCCACATTGGGAGCACTTTTTTCAGTCCTTTGAATACTCTTAGTAATGTGAGGGTATTAAAGAAAAACATTTAAGTCATAATTTTTTATGCAAAATCACGCCTAATAAGACCATTAACGATCTTGTTGCATTTAAACACCTGTTGTATCGATTGGTCACTGTGAGCAGAGTAGTTTAAACAAAAATCCATTTTACCCGCTGAAAATGACAGAAGCTAGCACTCTGAAATGAATTTACAATAACACTTGTGTTTGAATGTGTTTGAAGAGTTTAATTAAATATAACATTTGAAATGGAATGTCTTGCATGGTCAGGCAAAATGTGCAGTAGCAATTTATTTAAAGTTCAACAGGACAAAACACAGACTAGAGAGAAGTCAAAAGTTATTGACCTGGAACAGTGGGATATAAACACATGGGGAGTAAAAAAGAGGGGAATGCAAGAGTGGTACATCATGGGAAGTCCCCCAGCAGCCGTAGGCTATTGCAGCATTATTAAGGCATGGCTCAGGGTTACCTGAACCAACCCTAACTGTAAACTTTACTAAAAAAAAGTAACTTTAAAGCCTAATATTCAAAGTGGAGAGAGTGTCTGTCTCCTGAGAGAAACTGGAAGCTGGTTCCACAGCTTTGCCATGTTTTCTTCTCTGCCTTAAGTCTGTGGAGGTTCTCAGTCATCCAGGTCATCGGCAGACAGTTGGTGTCGACACCAACTGTCTGCCGGGTGAGCTCACCCAAAACCCTGGCTGATTGTGACCCACACCCAGTTCCACACCTTGGCTCAGGCGATTAGAGGATCATCAGGGGGTCCTTTTGTCCCTCTGTGGGGGGA